CACACACACACACACACACACACACACACACACACACACACACACGGACGGACACATACACACATGCGGCCCCCAGCCCACCCCCCTGCGCCAAAACCCACCTGTGCAAACGTGTTAAACGCGTTTACCCGCGTTCAGTGAACGCGCGTTCACTGTGTTCAAAACCTGAACGCAAAACGCGCGTTCAATGAACGCGCGAAACACAGTCTATTGCCCATGCCGGCCAAACAAATGACCTAGCATGACAACTAAATGCTGCCACCACGTTCACCCTGCCTTAAAACCCCAGAATCAGCTTTTACTTCGCCCGATTCCGTGGGCGAGGTATGCCTCCTTTCCGCTCTCTTCTTCCTCCTTCCCCATCCCGCTCGCCTTTGTCATCCCCAACTCCGACTTTCTTGTTGTCGTCAACCTTTTCTCTCCCTCCTCATTTTCTTTCTTAATATTCTAACTAACGCTACAGTAACTCCTCTCGTAATATCTCTCAAAATTAGGTTTGTAAGAGAGGGAAAAAAGAATTTCATGAAAACCTAACAAAACGACAAAACCTACCATTTTTTATAGAATGAAAAAGTACAACATCAAACTGTTACTTTTGACACATGAAAAAAAATATTTTTAGCTCTGTCCCGAGAAAGGATGCAAAAAAGCGGGCAAAAAGTCTAGCAGTTCTTAAAATATGCAAGAAAATCATTTTTAGCAAAGAGCGTGTTATAGGACTATAAATTGTTCCTAGTAGATTGACAAAAAACAGAGCGTAAACAAGACAATCTTTAAAAACTCAAAATATGTATAAAAAAAAAAACAGTTTTAGTGAATACTCATTTATAGAACTATAGGTCATTTTCAGTACTTGGTAAGAACCAAAATTTGTGAAAACTAATTTATAGATCTATAAATCATATAAGTCATTTTTTGAGCCTACTGTAAAACCCTTGTCAAAAAATGTATGTTATGTAAAAGACGAATTCAAACAACTTTTGCCTCGGAAACATCTTCAAATTCTTAACCAACCACGATCTAAAATTAATAAATGATAAAATATTTTAATAAAAAATAATATATTCGTCTATGTATGAGAGAACATATTCAAGCCAACGTATTCGTGAAAAGGACAACATATGGCGTATTTGGGAGACCCTCCAATACGTTCATCGTGTTGCATACCTTATAAAACTATAAATATGATTTCTTTAGATAAGGAAAAAAATGGAATATTTTGGTTCATGAAGAAACAGTGTTTTGGAAGGTAGTGATTTTCTGTAAAAAAACCCGCTTTTCTCCTCAACACTTCGAGTGGTTTTGAAAAAGTAGTTTTTAATTGGGTAGCACCACGTACGCGTATGCGGTGCATACGCGTACGCGTACGTGCCCAAAAACCAGCATACGCGTACGTGTTTTTTTATTTATTTATTTATTTATTTATTATATTTTACATATATATATAATGTATATATAATATATATAGTTAGTATTTCGTCACATAGGGTAAGGTTGTTGCAGGCCAGATTCAGTCATGATGAGGGTTGGGGTACAGAGGGGTGGGTTGTGAGCACTCTCTCTTTCAGACACGAGTGAAGCCGTTCACTCATCATGTCGGAGGAATGTTGTACGGAGGGGTGGGCTTCACTCGTGTCAGAAGGAATGCTGTCAGTTCCGGGCTTCACTTGCAGCCCAGATTCAGTCATGATGAGGGTTGCGATCTCTCAAAACGATCTCTTCTTATTACTTCTGAAGTAGAAAACGACCAAACTGACAAACGTTTTTCCAAGAATTTTTTTTTTTTAAGTAAGAACATCAGAATTTCTTTGCACGACTGAAGCCCGACGCGTCCAACCTGTCAGAACCCCAACGGTAATGTTCACCAACGGGCTCACTGCACAACTTTTTGACATGCACAACAAGACAAAAAAATTGGCGGTGTATCTTTCCATATTGTAACGCAAGATTCACTCTCCTTTTGCACATTTTCAGAGTAGTGCAGCGAGGCCCATATATGGCAATCTATCTTTCCATGTTCAAGCGGAGGATTCAGTCTCATTTGTTCAGAGATTCTCCAAAAAAAAAAAAAAAAGGTTTCGGAGATACGTTATGTGCTTATCTGATTCATTAGCCCTTCACTCTCCACCACCTAACGTATGAATGCCGCCAGAACATGGAAAGATACACCGCCATATTTTTCGTCCCTTGTGCATGTCGCCCCGCTTCTGGATTCATGTTGCCCGTTGATAAGGGCGGTTTCTTCGGTCCGATAGTGTCAACACACGGTTTCTTCTCTCTCTCTCTCTCTTCTCTCTCTCTCTCTCTCTCTCTCTCTCTCTCTCTCTCTCTCTCTCTCTCTCACACAC